TAAGTGGTTCATTTGATTCATCTGAATCAGTATGATACAAAGTATCATTATCGATTATTGGCAAGTTCAATTTGGAACCCTGTTAAGCAATATAGATATTAGATATGATAAAAGTATCAATATAATCAGATGAAAATAATCAGAAAATCAAGTAAACCTATGATGAAATCAAGGCAGTAGCATCATAGGAAGTACTTTCATAACCAGTATTAATCATCTTTTAGAAGAATGAGTTAGGAGAAGACGACAATGCAACAATATAAAAATTTCAACAAAATGATCAAAAAGTGATCGAAAGAAAAAAATATTTTGATCTCATGATCGACACAGTCACATTAGAAACATCAATAATCACGATTCGTGTTATGTTATGTGACAACCGTGTAAACATATGCGTACACGTGATAGCATTTATGGTTACATAAATTTCTACAAAAGGAAATTTGTGTAACATATTTTTAAACCTAACGCGTGATTTTGATAAGAAATATGATTTCCTTTTTTGAAAATTCATGTAGCGTTACGTGACCCATGTATTTACACCCTGTGTAAACCTAGTAAAATTCTATTAATTTTTATGATATTATTTTAGAACATATATAACATTTTTTATACACTTTTAATATTAATTTAATGAGTTCAATATCATATTCATTCAATTATTATATGTTTTAACCTGATTATATAAATATAACTTTCAGTATTATACTTAAAATAAATATGATAAATACTAAAAAAATGAAAATAATTAGCATTTAATTTAACTTAAAATAAAAAATTCTCTCTTCTATATCTATTTTAATATCATTTTATATATTTAAATTAAACATTCTTAAAGTTCAAAACCAAATGTAAAGCTTATTTTAAAGCTATTTATATACTTTAACCATATAATTAAAGGTGCATAATAGTATTTAGAAAAAAAATTTAGAGTAATATTTATAAAGTATGTAATTTCAAATAAAACATAAAGTATTATTGACTAAAAGAAGAATTTTTAGTTCTGTGTTCTCATATGAGCATCAAGTTCTTGAGATATTGATCCTAAATCAATATCTATATTTAACTTCTTAGATTTCAATAATAAACTATTAGAAGAGATTTTTTATTAATATTTTTAAGAGCTTAAAGGATTTTATATTTGTATATAAATAATGGACAAAGTTTTTCACTTTCAATTGCATTGTAGGTAAGTAAAATAGTTACACTATCTTTTAATTATTTTGTTCTGACAATTGGACCATTAGAAATAGTACAATTAGGTCATATTTTCTAAAAAAAGATCTATTTTTATCATAATCAAAAATGTTTTAAGGGTCATAATTTTTAAAAACACTATGAATTTTTCATACATTATATCAAGACGATGAAAATATCCTAATTTATGTAGAATTTTGAAATCCACTTCTATTCCATTTAGCAAGAATTTTCCTGAATTGTACTGCTCTTCTTACTTTTGTAGTTATTATAGAATTCAGTTTAATTAGTTTCTTGATATATTGAGAAACTTGCATGTTCTCTATGTTCTCTTCAAAAATCTGCGAATCTGTAATAACTTTTTATTCAGGCAACTGATTCTGTTAAGAAGATTCTAAAATGATACCTTGGTCAGAAGTAAAATAAACTAATAAAAAACAGATAGAGAAAAAAAACTACTCAGTGAATCAAAAATTTTTTACATAAAAACACAACATTAATGATGTCATCTTCTTTTCTTGACAAGTTCTAAGATGACCATTCCTATATGCTATATAAGTCACCATAGATTTGAATTAAAATATAAAGCCAGATCGTCATTCTATCATTTGAAAGAAAGGAATTGGTATAAGCTTTAATTTATTCTAAATAGAGATGGTAATGGTCAGTCGTGGGTCAGTCAATGGTTAGTCATAAGCTTACATTTAGAGCTTTTGAAAATAAACCAATAAAATGCATATCAATGGTCCTTTCTACATGGGTTACTCTACTGTACGTTTGTACTCATTCATTACTATAACAATAATGCTCAATGAGAAAGAATGTTGATAGGAGTAATCGAAGATTATGATTAAAAAACTTACAAAATGTCTAAATACACTCTAATATATTGCGTGTTTTTGTCATATATGTCCACATTGTCTGTATTAATACAGAGTAAGAAACAAACACCTTTGATTCTGCGAGCCCACTTTTCTTTACAGAATTTTTTTAGCAGCTAATTTTAAAAGTTACGGGATGAATGATCATTTTGCAGATTGATTAAAAAAACTCAGTATAAAATTTTTGAAGAAAAACATAATCACTACGTTCAGATCAGTGTTCTGAATATAACGACATAAATTTTTTTACTCATATAAAAGTGTGATTGGCTTTTCCAAATCCATATAAATGTTCTCAGAAAAATCTTGGATATTATCAGTTGTCCTGTGACTTATAAAATTAACTGTAAACCAAAAGTACTTGATTGAAGTACTTCCAATAGCATCAAGATAGATGGATTCAATTGTGATCCCTTATATATGAACTTAGTGATTATTTGTTGAAGTCTTAAAACTTCAGCTTGAGAGTGAAATTCTTTGACACGAGGATGTTTAGGGCATAGTGAGAAATTCTCTGCACTAAGACCAAGCATAACGGCCTATAATTACATGTTAATGAAGGATTAAAAAATACAAAAGAACTAGTTAATACATACATCGACTGACAAGCCATTTATTTTCTCATACAATGTTAATTTCTACTATCACCTTGTCATAGAGTGTAAATCGATCATTCTTGTCATCTGAGGACGATCGCTTTCAAGCATTCTTGAACAATGAAAAAAAAAAATTAAGAAAAATCCTTATAGCTATATAATTGATTACACAATTGATCATAATTTAAGGATTACCTCTTCCTGATCTTCATGTTTTTGTTACTTTGATTTTTTATCTTTAAAAATTCCGTCATTTATCCCTATTATAGAGCTATCCACAATTTTTGGTTTGTGAAAATAGAACGAGTGATCACTAATCTTTCTAGTTAGCTTACATTCTTTCTTTTACTGTCATGCCCTTTGGCAGTTAGGCCGAAGACCCTAAAATGAAAAAACTAGGAAATATTAGTAATATTCTCAAATAGTCTTTAACAATTATCTCTGATTTTCATCCCATCAGGTTAACAAGAAGTCTTGAACATCAGGCAACCAAGAAGGTCGCCCGTACCCTAACTTTGATTTTATAATTCAACAAAAAGTCTTGAATGGCGAATAATTGAGAAGATTTTGTGCTACACTACTTATTCTTTTATTTAAATAAAAAAAAGTTTTTTATTTACCTCCTTGCATCCAGTGTTGGCCAACTGGATAAAATTGGACTAACTAACTTATAAAACTAGACCATTAGACTTATAATTCCAGTAACTGGACTTTAGTCCAAGTCCAGTCAAAAATAACTGGACTTATAAAGATGACCAACACTGCTTGGCTTGCACCTGTCAATAAATGTAAATGCTTTTTCACGTTATTTTCCTCGCTTAGAATTAGCAAGATTATTAAGCGATTTAATTTATACATCTAGCTTATTTTTGAAAGGTTCTTCACCAAACTCTTCTAAAAAATCAGCAGTGTTCATTTTGAAGATTCTCAGTTTAAAAAGTATCAGTGAATTTTTTCATTAGACATGGTTAAAGAAAAAATTTGGAGACGCAACCTGATTTTATTATATTGCAGTTCAGATCATTTGGTTATATGAATCATTGGGGTAGTCAGTTAACTAATTAAATTAAAACTATATATCCTTTCTGTGTTTTGTATAAAATTCAGCACACGGCTATACGCAACACATCCAATATTACAAAGCATAATACACAGAGCTTGTCAAATCATGTTTCAGCCCTTGCATATATGAACGACATACACTGGTTGGCAGATTTCAGATCTGATCTCATAAATATAATGAATATAGCAGATTCTTTCTATACACTCAACAGCATTCGGGTCAACTGGAATAAATCAGTCCTCATAATTAATGATAAAGATTCTTCTCCTGTTAACTTCAACTTTAATGACAAAAATATCTGGCTGTCACCACTACATTACAAAGAATCTACTAGATATTTAGAAGTTTGAATATCTCTGTTTAATAACAAACAATTCATTACCAAACAAATTTTTGATGAGTTTACTAAAACAAAGAACGTTCTGAGCAAGAAAAAGCTCACTAATAAATACATGGTTGCTATCTTTAATACTGTCATTATCTCTTGAATATTATACAAGACAAAACTTACGTATTTCTCGTTTAGTTTGTGATACTCTCATGATCTCGTTCAGAACCTTTTTCAAAAAGAAATTAGGACTTTCAAGATTTATATCCGCTTCAGTTATACACTCAACCTTTGGTTATAATTTAGCACACTTTTACGATAAACAAATACAAGCTAAAGCATCAGATCTATTAAAAATGACAAATGATATTTCACTTCTTAGATTAACTTCACGGCTACGCATTTTACAACTTTAACTTTTGGAATGGTTGCTAACATCTCTTGTCTGACTAGCCTTATTCAGAGACCAAGCCTTTTAAAGATTGGTGGTTAGATTTCCTATCAGCTGTTAAGCAAATTAGGCTTAAATTTCAACAATGTTTAGACAAAGATTATAACTTAAAACAAATAGATGGAGGCTCGCTCCCAATATTACAATTTTTTATCTAAGGTATATCGGCAAAATATATTAAAACTTCAATCACTTTCAATTTTATACGTCAATCAATTCATTACAATGAAAGATAACAACCTATTTATAGTCTTTGATTTAAATATGGCTTACGATTCAGTATTCTATAGTATTAAATAATTCAAATAGCTAGAATTGTAGCTTTTAATCAATAACACAAATAGATTTTTATTTAACCTTTGCTCTCTTCACGTATCATTCATCAAAGCACCTACTCAACCTACCAATTTTAATGCTTCAGCAACCAATCCAACTTTTATTATAATTTAGTCTAATCAATATATGATATTTATAATAGGCAAAGTAGTCAAAGTCGAAGATACTATTATACATGCACAACAAATCAATCTACTTACTATCAAACATCTATTATCCCTGTACTAAATGTATCATTCAGCTTTTATACCTTACAAACAACAACAACGTCACAGTTTTTGTACTATTAGATTACCCAAATTATTTTATTTAGTATTTAAAGTTTTTCACAAATTCTGCAAAGAATAGTGGTGTAGTCTTTCTCACCTAATGCTTCATGAAGTTGCTTTATCAACTTTGACATCTCCTTATCAATATCCAACTAAACTTGCACCTAACTTAGATATTCTTCCTTTTGATCAAACATCCATCAATAAATTAGATTGTCTTAAATTACAATTTATTAATGCTAATATTTTTCAATTTTATACAAATGGTTCTCTTATATCTTTAGGATCTTCTGACTGTTAGATGGAAATAGCGTAGTTACAAACTGATCAAAATTGGTCCCTACTCTCCTTTAATGCAATACTTGTTTTACACTCTTTCTCTTTAACATTAGCAGAAATAGTTACTATTCTTGCTGCAACCTATACTGCTCCACCAAACTCCAACATTAAAATCTATACAGATTTATAAGCTGCAATTACTTTGTATTACAAGATCATTATAATGTGCGAGAAATCTCCTTCTCTAAACCTTGCCTTCAAAATTCCATATTTTCATATTTGGATGATCTTAATACAGCTTATTACAACTCAAAAAATTACGTTATCCCTTACAAAAGTTAAAGCTTATGGATCAGATCAACTTAACAACAAAGTAAATACTTTAGTAAAACAACTCTCTGGTGTCCTGTTACGTATCAACAACAATCACCTTAGTCCTAAATATTTTATATATTATAATAACACACCAATCATTATGCCACCCCATTTATTCATTAAACACTTGCAATAAGCATCTTGGGCTGAAACATTTTTAACACTCCCTCAAATAAAGTAACTTTTATATTGATTGGCAAACTCTTTTTTATGTCCTTAATGATTCAGAAAATACTAGAGTGACATCATTTAATGCATGTAAAAGGAAACAATTCAAACTTAAATTAATATTACAATTACTTCCCACTTTGATGATCATGAATGTATGGTATCTTCAAATTTATACTTCTAATAATTGTTTCCATTGTAATAATGCAATTAAAGACTTTGATTACATTTGGAATTGTCCCAATAATACTATTTCTATTATCAACGTCATTCAAAAATACAAGCAATTATTCATATTTCATCTTAAAGATCTCAATAGACCTAACAATGATATCCCAATCAATTACATTAATCAGTTTCCAATATGGTATTGTAACTCAATTAATAATAACTTATGTTTTATTGACCTCTTAAAAGGAATCATTCTTTTATCATTTTCCTCCTCAATCAATGCCGTCACAAATAACAAACAACTCACCCTCAGTTTATTATCATCCCTATTTGATGACATATTCTCTTCTGCTCATAATATATGGTTGATACAATATGAATCACTATAATTTTGAAAGCTTCAAACAAAAATAAAAGACTAATAAATTTTTTTTATATATTATATATAGTATATTTTATCTGATTTTTCAATTATATTAAAAAAAAATGGTTTGTTTTCTAAAAATTGCTACTATAAACAAAAATATTTTTATCTGTTTCTATAAAGATTTAGTAATTAAAATCATAATACAATTTATCTATATTTTTAGTGTAAGAATAAGAAATGTTCTGAATTAAAAAATTGCATGTATCTTCTAATTTAACTATGATTAAAGCAAATATTCTTATGCGTTTAAAATTTTCAATATAATTTTGATATAATATAAACTAAAAAATCAATGGTAGAAAATTCATAGCATATCACTTTTTAAATTTGATCTATCAAATTTTATTTGAATGATTGTTTATAAACTTTGAAACTGATTATATTTTTTTTACTTTAAAATAGTTTATTTATATTATTATTTTCATTATAAAGAAACATATTTTCAAGCAATCTTCTATCTTTTACTTTCCCTATATCTTACTATTTCCTTTACATCTTCTTTTTTATATTTTTTAATATTTTTTCTTCTTTCAGTTTTTATTATTTTTATATATACAGTCAACTCTTATTATAACGAACTCTATGTCTTAGATTTCAACTTCACTATAAGGCTATAGTGAAGATTTTAAGAGATTTGATTGGCCAATTCGCTATAACAAGTGTATTTTTATTATATTTGTTCAAAAAATTCATTATATCAAGAGTTCGCTATATTAAGAGTTGACTGTATATATTTTTTTATTTTCTTTACCCTTTTCTTCTTCTAATCTTTTTTATCTTCTCCATTTCTCTTTTTCTTTGATTTTTTTTATCTTTTTTACTTCTCTTCCCTTCTCTTGATCTTTTTTATCTTTCTTATCTTTCCTTCCTTCTCCTGATTTTTTTTTATCTTTTTTACCTTTCCTCTTCTCTGTTCTTTCTTATTTTTTTTATATTTTTTATATTTTTTTTTAAAAACTTCTTTTTTTGATATTCTAATCACAAATAAGAGAAAAATTATATTATAGGCAGCATGATCATTGATATCAATAAGTAAGTGAAGAAATAATGTATTTTATCTTTTATCGTAAAATGTGAAAGTATTTTTGTTAGTGAAATGTAGTAACTTAAAAGTACATTTTGACTATGAAGATTTACCATTTTTATATGTAGATTCAGTTAAGACATTATTATATTACAACTAAATCGATGTTCTAAGAGCTTTTTGAAGTAATTAAAAAAGAGAGATTCTTCCAATTTTAGAGTTAACACCTTTGTAACTGAAATAGAATTTGAATTTTTACACTAATGTGTTTTATTTCACACATTTTTTCTATGCATTTTTATATAATCTTATTATCCACCTATTCAAACATATTTCTTACTCTTACATTTTTATTTCAAAAATAGAGTATAATAATAACAATATTTTTAGAACAAGTTTTTACTAGACTCATCCTAATTAAAGAAATAGACGCATTTGAAAAAAACAAAAAAGAAAAGATAACAGAAAAGAATTTTGAAACTGAAATAGCACATTTGAATCAGAGTAGATGAAAGAAATAAGAAACTTAAAGCATCATCTAGAGATTATTTGAATGAACAAATCTCTAATTAATAAAAATCTTTTTTTAAAAAATCAAAATAATTTTGAAAATAATTATTAATTACGCAGACTAGATTTATATAATATATAATAAATTCTTAAAAATAAAGATTTTACAAAATAAATTGATTTCTTTTAATACTTTTTATATACTTTTCTATTTTATTTTATTGTATCATATTTTCTAACCAATCATATGTAATAAAAAAAGCAATTAGAACTTAATATTTGCATTGCAAATATGTATTCCTATTTTGATAAGTTCTAAGTCAACCTTACTTCTTTATTTTTAGTGATAATTCATTTACTATAAAGCTTAATGAAGATAAATGATTATATTAATCGATTCATGAGAAATATTGAATTAAAATTTTCTGTTAACATTTTGAATATGTAAATTAGAATTAAAAGTAAGACATTCTAATCAACTTTACAAATAATTGTCATCATAGGAGAAAGATTTT